GTTGCCACTTGAAAAATGGCTGCAATAAGACTTCGGAAAAATCACTTTTTGGGGGGTGATTTTCTTTTGTGGGTTAACCCACAAAAAATTTAAAAGAAACTGAAAGATTAGTGACCAGACAAGAATTTCATTTGTGTTTCCGAAATCTCAGGGATGTTGGCGTGCATGTTACTGGGCCCTGAACAGTGCTGATTTTACACTGTTTTCAATGGGGCTTGAATTAGTGGACTGTACCCCGTAGTTGGAGGTTGTTCCATTTGTTGCAATCATGTCTCGGCAAGGGGGGGGGCAACTCTCCATTCACTTTGTAGGCCTACAGCACAGGCATAACAACTGACAGGGATTTGCATGTATTCCTCCTTTTTTGCTGCAACATGATAAAAAATAACAGTGAAACCTTATTTTGGTACAGTGTGGGAGATAATCATACTCATCATAGTAGTAGGCTTACATACATGTATGAATGTAGGCGTACATCACCACTACATGGCCTAGGCCTACATGTACATCATCACAGTAGTCAGTAGGCCCTAGAGAAATTTTGGGCATAGGCCTATTTGATGCAAAGGTTAAGAGTTCAGTCAATAATTCTGATTTTTGCCCCTTTGACTTCCGTTTTGAGAGTGAAATACTAATGGAATAGCCACCAACTGATTGACCAATCAGGGAGAAGAATCAACTTCAAAGTCATCCCGACCGACCACCACTACTAAAGTACTATGGTAGCTGACTAGACCACGCGGCACGAGAACGTCTGTCAAAACTAAGTAAGACTTACCATCCTTGACTTAGTAAAGCCGCTTCAACCATGCTTAATTACAAGAATATTTTTAAATGTAACACTGATACTTAATTGTAGGCCCTATGAACATGACCTTAAAGTTTTTAGGGCAGGAAACTTGATCTGCATGCACATGTATGATGTAGCAGTCTGTAGCTGTCTACACATGGAGATCTAGGAAGGACGGGATCGCATACCGTACCGGCTCGAAAAAAACATTGCTCCCATTTTCAACGTGTTCAGATGTATGGTAACCCTAGATTCTCCGGGTAGATTCCACAAGGAGAATAAAAAAGCACCAGCCTAAAGTGACAAGCGAAATCAAAGTGCGCCCTCTCTATTGGTCTGCGTTTATGGCCGTTTATTTCAAATGGATCTGGTCACCGGAAGATGACTGCACCAAAACTCGTCTAATTATTTATGGCTGGTGGGACCGTGTGCGTTTCGTTCATTCGTTTTCGATTTAAAATCGAAAACCAAAACAACACCAAACAAGTCGTTTTCCGATAGAAAATCGAAAAATGAAAATCGAAAAAGGGGTCGTTTCTCAGGCTCGTTTTGCGATTTGAAAACAAAAACAGGCCTAGGAAAAACAGGCGTTTTGCAAAAACGAAAAACGATATTGTCATGTACCTTTTTCGTTTATCAATGTAACGAACAACAGCGGGACACTTTTGAAGCATGGAAAACAGTTCCATTTTTATTTTGTACTAGAAACGTCTACCCACTGCACCAAATTAAACATAGCTGAACTAAAGAAATAAGAGTGATAAGCAGCTGAAATTTCCTTTTCAAAAGTGCTCAGAGAACTAGTGAGGCCGCCTCAAACTTACGTGTGCAGTCAAACGAAATTTGGATTTTTTTCGACCCAATGCACGTTTGGAAAGGGTCGACAAATTTCGCGCGTTATGATTGGCCAACGTGTTGCAAACTCTTGGTGGCGCAATATTGTGAAACGGCCGTATTAACGGTTGCAATTAGTCCTGTCAATTTGGATAACGAATATAAAGGCTTTTGTCGGGCTGCATTTTAGCGGGCACTGAGTTGTTCGTTGTGTTTTAATGGAGCTTTCGGCTACTCAGGCTATTTGCGCCTCAGCGAATAAAACAATGCACATGCATCTTTGATAAGCCTCTGTTGATCACAGTGTGGTAAGTTATTTTTCAATGCTTATAATTGTTAAATGAGTTTAAGGCAATTTATTTCAAATCAGTGCTTATGTTAAATTTTAGATAAAAGAAACGTCTATGGTGGTTATAGTTTCATGAATGGAGAAAAAGTAAAATATGCTCCTGCAAAAAATGGTGCTACCTTTCTAGTTTACTAGCTACCTCCACAATGAAAAGCTTAAAACTCATCAAACAATGTGAATTCTCTAATGGCAAATACTGCGCTTGGTTTGGGGAGTTTTCATTTAGTTGTCATATTTTGCAAAGCGCAAGGAAGCACCAAAGAAAAGACCAGTCTAATTTTGTGGTAAAAGAAAAACAAGAGAAGAAAATGATATCGAGAAATCACATCCTTTGAAGAACGACTTTTGAAGTTGTAAATAACTTTGAGGAGCTGATCCTCGGGTTAAGTGCGGGGCAAGAGCTGGGAAGTGGTTTTATTTTATCCTGATGTTGATTTAAGTATATCGGAAAATGTATTATTGAGACGAAATGCCAGAAAACAACTTCCAGCAAACTGCACATTAGGCATACGAACACCAAACCAAAGGATTTCAATATTTGTTGGCAAACTTTAATTTATTGAACGTTTTCAAACTGTTGGTAATAATATATACACATCTAAAGTCATCTTCATGTTTCCTGCCTCAGCCTCAAGCTTTGATACCATTAAGAGCAATAAAATAAATCCTTCCTTGGCAAAAATACCACATCTGCACTGAATTTGTTTTCACTACACACAGTGTTTAAAAAGGATAGAAATTGCTTTGGAAAAATTCATTGCAATAACTCATCTCAATGGATTCATCTCAACAAAGACATTTCAGTCAAAGAACACTGAGTTGAAAGCCAATCCTGATCATTAGATAGGCTGCTTCGCTGTGGGAAGCATATGACCATGAAAAGTAAATTTGATGCAGCAAATCTCCCTTCTGGTCAAATAAGATGTTCTGTGTGCACTTCTGTTAGATTTCAAACAGCATAATCAAGGCATGTTGTGCACAAGTGGAGAGCAATCATTATGCAAAGAAGGATACTTTCTGTCACACTCTGACACACATGGGGAATTCTGCAAGATACACGTATTTATACACACGCCCAAATCTACTGATAGTGGCAAAAGTACCTGAAATCATTACAATGGTTCAGGAAAATTTAAGCCAGGTTCTCCAAATATGTAGTTGTGGTCCAGAAACCAGTCTGGTTGCCAGATCACACACAGTCTATGGATTAGACCACTGCAAGGTACCATCCTTACCATTGCCAACCACAGTGCTGGGCCCAATTTCATGGCGTTGCTTACAGCTGAATTCTGTGCTTTCGTTCTCCATTCTGCGCTCAATGCGCTTGCAGAAAAATTCTGCGCCAACTTTTTTAAGCACAGAATCCTTAGTTACGGGATCTAGGCAGGCGCATAACCCAAAATTCCTTGCCCAAAAACCTGTGAAATACATAAGCACAGAATTTTCAGCTGCAGTAATCGCCGATTTTTCCCTTTGGGTCAGCAGTGCTATGAAATTGGGCCCTGATGTCATGTCCACAGAGAGCACTAAAGATTGGAAATTGTCCAATTGTAATTGAGACTGATACTGGAATTAGTGTCAAACATGAACAAAGCGTTGTAGAAGACAACAGCCTATTTACCTATCAATTACAGGCGCTACTTTGGGCACGCCTCAATAGTGCCAAGGTGCTTGAGATACATTATTCCATTCCCTCCCACAAATTTCATACAAAACATGATTTCATAGAAAGTCTTTATTAATATACCTGTATGCCAACACAGCTAGATTTTGTTAAAATACGGCTTTGAGTTTCGTTAATTGTATAACTGTGCGCTTATCAACTACATGGACAGCATTCCTCCTGTAAATGATATTAAAGGTCAAAATACTGCATACCAGCTTTATAACATAAAACCAAATTGCATAATGGAAAAACAGAAAAGGTCACTCACTGAACCCTCTCACACTGATAAATGTAACTTAATTTGTAAAACTCCTAAGAAAATAAAATAAGGAACAACCTTAATTTGTTGTGTTTATTGCCAGAGAGTTGCAAAAACAAGGTTTCATGGAGGAGATTCTGAAGTAGCTTTTATCACTTTCCTTTTCATGTCCAGTTTATTTCCATTCTGGATTTAGGAAGGATGAAATTCTCTTTCATGTGAAAAGAAATGCGATCCAACTTGATACATGTGTAATAATGCACACCTTGTGTTCTTGTACATATACCCTTTGTGAAAAGAGTTTGTGGTTGACCTAACAATACTCATTAGTTGGAGGACTGAGGACCGTTACAATAGTGGAAAAAACCCAAACTTCAAGAAGTTTGGCCTTAACTATAGAACTTTAGAAATACTGGTATTATTAAAAATTGACTGTAAGGAAATTGACAGGCAATGCAACAAGCTGCAATGTTGTGCACATTTGGGGCGAAAAAATCTAGCATTGTCACATAATTTTGCTGGTATGACCTTGTAACAGAGTGCACGAAAGCCATCACAGATAGTTTTGTGAAGTGACTACCTTAAAGGCAATATACATACATTGTACACGTATGCAGTTGAATGTATTCAGAAAGTTCATCTCCAAAAAACTTTGTACCTTTGGGAAGGAACTCTGAATGCTCAGACCATTCTATTTACATTGCTTTGGATGAAATCAGTGGCTTACTGTATTATGTCACAGAATAATCTTTGAACTGTCCAAACGTTTTATTAAAAGAACTGTCATATTTGATGTAAACTGTATACAAGACCTTGAGGGTGTTCAACGCAGCAGGCAACACTCTTTGAGTTTCCGAGGCTGCATTTTTAGACATATTGTGACAATGCTACATTACCTTTGGTCTTTATATGTGGCCTGTATTCTCAAAGTACTTACATGTATTCTTAACTGTTGTGGCTGAGTCTAATACTACTCTAATCTGGGCTGATGAATAACGCCGAAAGGGCAAAGACTATGAAGACAATTCCTCCTACAAGCGTGACTGCAGAAATACAAGGAGAAAAAAAGGATGGTATCATTTAATAGTGAAAATGCACGGTAGGAAGACATGATTATGAAGCCCCAACAGTAGCTTGCCGAAATTCAGGTATTTTGGGTCATTCACTTTGGGCCACCAATAATTTTAGAATTTCCAGTTGCCATCTTTTACATGTAAGCCACCAAGATATCTACAACCGAATATTTTTTCATTTTACGTTTTGGGGGGCAGAATGTCGTCTAAGTAAAACCACATTTCTGCTGGCAGAAAATCTAATCTTTAGAATTAAGCAATGCAACATTAAATATCCCAATGTCTGCCAAAAGAAAATTGAATTAAAGATTGGGCTTCATAGATGCCCATGTACAATATATCTCACTGAGTATTTTGCAAGAGGAGTAAGGGTGAATCCAGGTGTAAATCTTGCATTATTTTTGTACACATTACTTGCACACATTGGTAAAGACTGTGTAATCTCACCTCACTCAGAGTGCCAAGTCAGCATCACAGCCTAAACTTTCTTTCCACGAAGTCCTTTTTACACTTTTAAGTCCCATTTAACCTCATTTCAACATTTACGTGTAGTTTGCTACTTTTCAGTACCTTTCCAGCTTTTGTGCAAATGGACTTGCACATTTGTAATCTGTTTATGAACATAATTGTGATGTCATTTTAGGGAGAAACCTCAGTGTTGCAGAGGAATTGAGAATCAAAATTGAGATGAATTTGTAATATTTGCTAATTTTTTCTCTTTGCTAGCGATTTCTTGTTTTGGTACATGTATGTGCCTTCAGGCCAAAGAACTAAAGTTTTCTCTCCAGTATCTTCAACAGAAAATTTTGTGTTCACAATTTGAAGAGAAATTCCCCTCCTGAAATGATGCAACAATGACCTCATTTGTCAGGAAAAGCACAGAAATATGAAAAAAAAAAACTCTTTTCCACATGTTTTAACCACAAAGAAATGTGCAACAAATTTCATTCATGTGTGAATAAACATATGCGAGAGAAGTAAAGAATTGCACAAAATATATTCCCAAGTAAAAATTATATCATGGGACCTTTGAATACAAACATGAGACAGTAACCTGCTGATCAACTCACCTGTTCTCGCCGATATTCGCTGGGCTATCATTCGGCCCCCTATTACTGCCAGTGCTGTGCATATTGCATGACCTAAGATCCCACCAATTGTAACACCAATTACATCCTAGTTGACAAAAGCAAAGACAATCAGTGGATACATTTTTATTTACCACAAACTGTATGGATGGGTGAAATTCATGAGCGACATCGTTTGCATTATACTGGCTACATTCAAGAGCAAATGACATGCACAGTAGATAAAAGACCATCGGGCCACTTGTAAATGGTCCGTAACCTCTGCACAAAATACACATGGGTACCAGGCAAAGTGGGCAATGGTTGACAAATGGATGCCACTTGAACGTCCTAAAAAGTGAAAATATAGGCTCTCTGATAACAAAATCTTAAAAAACAATTAGAACACAATCCGTTTCATGACTTTTTAAAGAGTGTGTGTCTGAACACTATTTCCAAAAACTGCATTCCGTTTCCAAAACTGCTTGCTCAATCAAGTTCCACATTATTTTTGAAGGTCTGTAGACTGCCTTTTGTTCCAATTCTGTGGCATGATGTTGAAAAATAGGAGTTTTGTTGAACTTTTGCAAGACACATGTACCACATTTATCTATAAAATAAAAAACTTAAAAAGTCCTTGTACCAGTGCATTATGTTTATGTGTACATGTACATCATTGTTCTCTGTTATCTTTTGTGGGCTTTTAGTTATCACCTGGAGAGACCTTTAGCACTACATGTACCTGACGCTGATTTCAAGGATAGCCTACATGTATTGTTAATTGCACATTTATCTGGAAAATACTTCTGGTCGCCTGTTTACACAGACAGGTAGATGACACAAAACCACACTCGTTCACTTGTCAGTGAAGTTGCACAAATCACATCTTTGACCTCAACATATATGACATAGACAAGCCAACGTTCCACTTGATGGTTCATGAACCCTCGAGTGCTGAACCTCACAAAGTTCACAAAAATAAACTCATAGTCAATAACTGGAGTGAACTACACCATCAAAGTAATCAAGGTACTAGCAACAGTATGAGGCGGGTCCACAGTGCTCAAGAAAACCTTGTTTGGGAGTTTTTCAGGGCTGTGGTGGTGGTTAGGTTAAAGTCATCACACATTTCAGCCCTTTTTTTCTATTGCAGACTGATACAGTATGAAATCTTTCCAAATTTACCCAGTAGTCACAGAACCAAAAATAAAATGGTATACATCTACATGTAGGAAGGGCCAAGTTGGATCGTCACTGATCATTTGCAGACCACTGGTCAAGTTCTTTTGGTACATGTGACCTACATGCAGACATGTACGCAAAAAAGCTACATCCTAGTTACCAGGTGAAATCAAGCAGTGGCTAATTGATGGTTGTTGATTGAACTCAGCCAAGTATTGTCCACATTATAGTGATTATACAGTGTACTTGGAAGTTACCGGCAATATTTGGAGACCCTTACCAAATCACTGTGCGAAGTTAGTCACGGGTAAACACACAAACCCTAAGGGCTAGTTGGAAAAGTTTGAGATAGGATTTGAAAGCTGTCCAGCTAAATTTTACAATTCCAATAGGAGTCCAAACACACCCTATGGAGTTTGAGTTAATTAAATTGAAACGCGTTTTGCAAATTTTTGTATGAAAGAATTATGTATGAGAAAGTATCAGAAAGTACAGTCCAAAAACTTTCTTCCATTAATAACAAAAATAATTTCTTAACCTGTGTAGTTTTTGAGTTCCTTTTTTATAAATCCAGCTGCTAGGTTAAGATTTGTCGATGTCTGTTGTTTTTATAAACACCATGAACACTGTGGAAAAGGCACAAGACTGAACTGTCATACATGTCCACGTATGTCAGGGGGAAAATCAAGGTATCGAGTACTCTCAACATTTGTTTTCTGATTTGTTTTTCGATAATTGAAAATTCCGATATCAATGGACCACAGAGTTTGGTGTTAAGTATCCATCATATACCTACACTTGTGATGGTATAATTGTATAATTATGTACATGTACACTGTATGTGTATTAAATTTTTTTAACTACATGCACGAGTATTGCATTGAATGCAGTTTACCCAAAAAACATCTGGGATGGTTCTTGTTGCTTTTCCCAAAGTCTGATTTATACTGGCATTCTTTTCAAATAACATTCATGTACATGTACACATGTACATTTGCACAAATATTTGTCATGTTCAAATAATTAGAAGCGATATAAACATGACCACTTCATTCTACAAGTACTTGTACATGTACGTACCCCAAAACATACCTCATACAAAGATCCTGACAACAGAAACAGAAAAAAATAAACTTGTTTGACAATCCCCCCATATCATACATGTATTGATATCATATCTCACTCTGAACAATGCCAATATTTTAAGTGCAAAGTATTCTTTGATATGAGGACACTGATTTCATACTAAAGTTTGCATTTTATCTTTTTTTTCAACTACAGTGTATTTATTGACAAGGAGGGGAGGTTGTTGACTTATGTAAAACTCTAGTGTGACAAAAGTTTGAACAGTTTCATTGTTAGGCAATACAGTCCATTGATGGACCAAAAAAAACTCCACTGGAATAAGCTGCATTACCAGTGCCATGGGCTGTTTGCTGTAAAGTAATGCATATGTACTTGTATTCCAACAATATTTTAAATGCACTGGACTGCTAGGAAATAAACCAACACAGACACCAAAAAACAAGGAAAGAGGGAGGTAAAATTAATTTATGCCAATGCATCAGAGGTACATGTAAGATTGAAATCTTTCCGGTTCCAAATCTCAAAATTCAAGAATTCTGAAATCTTACTAAAAATGCAACTGAGGCACTACCACCTGACCACAGTTTTGATACATGTTTGTACATGTACATGGATAATTCCAGAAATTAGGGGTCCAAAAGTGTGACATTTTTGTGTCCCTGTTACATCTGACCTTTGTTATTTGACATGGAAATATCACCAGGATTGATTCAAAGTATTACTATTTGTTTGGCAGGTACTTTGCATTAATTCATCACTCTTGGAAATTAGAAAATGTGCTCTGAACTTACAAAATCATATGTCAGGTGTACATGTAACAGGAACACGAAAAAAAATGGACCCTTAATTTCTGGAATTACCCATATGTACATGTACATTAAAATTCACTTTGAGGTAAAATGCCTCCAAAAGGTTGGTTTACAACTTGACAGTTCTTAGCAATTAAATTGAGGATTTTTTCTCTAGGGTGTGGCAAACATTCAAGTACATCTGGCACAGTCTCTGTGAAAATCTAGAGCATACATCTAGCTGTCCATTACAGTGACAGCTGGGATTTCAAAATCCTGAACCCATTTCCGAACTGCAAGAACTGGTGGTATTAGTTTAAGGGATTTGGACAATTTACATGTAGGTTAAAATTTAAATAATTTCCTTGCCAGGTGATTCATGAGCTGCTTTGCCACTGTTTGCAGAGAAGCACTACCTACATGTAACAAATTTATGTACTAAGCTATGACCAACTGAACCAGTAACAAGAACTAAGCAGTGCTGCACATGTAGTTAAGTCTGTCACAAGTCTTTTTAAAAACAGTGCAAAAAGTTACATGCAATGTCTCAGCAAACCTTCAATTTCTGGAACAGAAAATGATGTCTTCATACTGGCCAATTGACACTCTTTTCCCGTTCCACAGGTGCATTATTCAATGCACCCAAACATGGTTCAGATTTTGGTACGTAAGATTGACTTCTGCAATACTGTAGCTACAGTCAAGTCCTTTCACAAGTCCCTTCACGAGTTGGGTCACAAAGTCCTTCCACAAGACCAGTCACGATAAATGGGGTGAACAATTACACAGGAATGCCTACGTCGTTAAAATAGCATGTGACATGGTTAAAGCAGGATAACTTGTGATGGATTTGTGATGGATTTTCAGAGACTAGAGAAGGTTTGCGGTGGCACCATGTAACTGTCTCTTGTCATGCTTGTGGGGTTCTGAAAAGAACTGGTGGGTTGATACTCGCCATTTTGATCATAATCACTGATAATGCTTTGATCATCGTCAGGTTTTCCTGAAGACGATCAGAGCATCCTCACTGAAATGTCACCACCATGCAAAGTTTCAAGATATTCAGACACTTGCAGGGGCTTGTGAAGAACTTGACAGCATGTGTAGAACACTGGCAAAAAGTATTCACACAGCATTTTTCGTGGTGGTCCCTAATGTTACATATAAATGTACAATCTTCAGTGCTTTAGCTTAGACACAACTGGTTCAAGGTGAACACAACTCACCTCTCTCGCTGCTAAAATGATAGTGGTGATTTGCGACCTGTCGCCCCACTCTGCCAAGAACGTCAGCGTGAAGGCTTGGAGAAAAATTGGTGAGAAGAGCCCGAGTACCTTCCGCTGCCTTCCTCCTCGGACGACACCCGACTCGGGATCTTGTGTGACCGTAGCGGCAGTGGCTCTTTCCAACTGAGAAAGTTGGCAGGTTGTGGGATTTGGCCGGAAGGGGAAGGGGGGAGCAGTGACAAAATGAAGTGCAGAGGGAAATAACAAAAAAAAAATTATCAACTCTACATGTACCAGTTGCTTGACACATATACGGTAAACTTACCAACCACTTTAACTATTCATTCTACAAGGCAGGACGTATTAAAGGACAAGCAAACAATTTTCTTGCTGATGTTATCAGGACTACAGGTACCAACCACGAATTTCCAGGTAATGGTCCAATTTCTAAGCAAAACAGCAAATAACATGGGGGACTAAGTTGGACTGGTTCCCCTTTGTGATTCATCAGTTTCATGCACTCTAGTATGCATTCACTGGGTCAGGTTTTCAGACCTACATGTACATGTGCATACCGTAGATTTCATCCTACATGTACATGTAGATATGCTAATTTCAAATCGTACATTTGGCAAGCTACATTAGGTAACGATTTACAACTAGCCCTGCCTTAACACTATATGTACATATAATCTCCATTGAAGCTGTACAGTTTCATTGTTTCTGTAAGTAAACCAACTCTTTTCACTAGTAACTGTGATAATGGTAGCATTCATGTGCTTGTAGCAGAACAGTTGACTGTTGCCATGACTTGGTAGGTTTGACTGCCTCTGAAGCGAGTGATTACATGTAATTCAACTTATTCAAGGCAAAATTTACGAATACAGTAAAATCATTATGTAATCTCACAAAATATGCACATGTACATGTTTCAATTTCTTTTTACAAAAAAATGGCATACTGTGAGTGTTTACATCTGGCGATAACGTACATGTGAGGAATGTTTGCATAATGCTTGATGCTTCCCACTTATATGTGTTAGTCTGCTCAGATAATTCCCCAATTTACAACCGATTACTTTACGACAAACTGAATGAATAAACATTAAGTGAACGACTGGCCACCATGCTGTAATGTACATGTTCAAGGAACAAATGGTAAAACCCTCAGTGTTCATGTAGTTTCTAGCAAAAGAGATGATCATATACGATAATGTGCGAGTGCTGTATCCTGATGAGAAATTTTGCTTCATACACGTACATGTATTTCAATTTTGCTTTCTTGGTGCTTCGCCAAAAAAACTGTTCTTCAGTACATGTAGTTAATTTGTGACTGCTTTGAGTGTGTATAGTTGGAAAACGGTCCTCAATGACAACATAAAAATCATGGCTGAAAAGGGGGAGTCATGCATGGTAAAGGGATGCTCTGGCATGTGCCTGGCAGATGTTTGTGGGCACTTTTTGTCTTCACCTGAAATGTTCTCATGAAGTTTCTTGCAGAAATGGAATGGTATGGCACGAAGTCTGGTGTTGGAAGTGTATAAAGCTACTCACATGTGACTCTGGGCTTATGCCATTTGAAACAACATTACCATTCTGTGGTTTCTGCAAGAAACGTGCGGACATGCACAGAAGCTGCTGTGAAAACTCAACACACGGAATTCACTTCTGCGGGTGCATTTCCCTAACCCTCGTCCATGCCCTAAACTGTGGAAAGTTGACCCCATGGCAGATCTGCTCAAAATGTCCCTGCTTAACAATGCATTCAGCATTTGGATAAGATGACAATTTATCTCTGAAAGAACACACAAAGGTGACAGTTTTCTCCAAGGTCAAAAAGATAATATTCTTGTTCAGTTCCATTCCAAAATTGCACACTGACTTTCTGCACAAATTAGAATCTGTGCTTACATGTATGTGTGACATTTAGGTTATGGTTTAAGATAATTTACAATCTGTATGAATGTATACCTTCCATTAAAGTAAAGATACTTTCAAACAGAGACCAACTTCACTGAGAAACTTTCTTATTCAAGATATCGCATTTTAGCACGGCGACAGTTTTATTTAGCAAGCTAATTCATGTACATCATGCACCTGCCGAAATTTACCTTGCCTGTGACCAGTGCTAAGCTTACATGTACATTTATCAAGAAATCTCACCACTAGTTTCAGAGTAGCGCTACATGTACACGTAGCTCAATGAAGTTGGGACCAAAGCATCCAATCAGTTTCATACACAGAACTATTTCTTCCCTTCCAACACAAAAATGGTGCCACAACCTGGGGCCGTCCATAAAGTACATACGTGTATGCACAAAACATTTTACGCCATGCCTTCCCTTTGCACGCAGGGCAAAGCAGACGAGTCGTGTTGAATTAAGATGCAAATGGTCGGGGGAAAAAGGGTTTTTGACACCTACCGGTACTTGGTCCTGGTAAGTACCATTTCATGACAATTTGTAAAAGCAAATTAGTGCACTGCATACCGTACATTTACTATATGTAGTCCCAGGGTTCTCCCCAGGATTTTTCAGAACTGCGGGGGATTTCCATTTTGGTTTACCAACATTTGTCAAAGCCATGGCGTGGAAATATCATCCCCGTCGTAGATGCCATTAATACTGTTACTCAGGGCTACAGCTGCTGCCATAAAAAAAAATGTGTGTGGGGTCGATGTAAGTTCAGCGAATGGTGTAGTATAACATTTCAACCGTCATAAATTCAGCCATGTCAGCCCCACTAACGTATTGAGCACACGGCACGGTGCACATGGGCACTTCCCATGACGGAAGTTCAGATTTGATGCGACACCAGCCACAAGGAACATTCGGTGCCGATGCGCATGTACGGTGTGCAGTGTGGCCGCCGACGCGTGGTGCACAATGCATGTACTATGTAGGCTACCTATAGTATGTACATGTACAAGGAAAAATGCAGGACTATTAACTGCTTTTTCCTCTAGATTTTCCAG